CGTCGAACTTCATTCTACAGTGACGCCGATTCTTAAGAAAGCACTTTTTTGTACAATATAAGGTTTAGGGGTTTTAAGACAAATATTATCAGAAGTAGAAAAACGTGTGTTGTAAAATGAACTTTAGATGTTTCCGCAAATAAACTACAAATGTTTATTGAATCTGAAGCAATTTTAACATTATGAATCAATTCAGATAAATTTTTACTATACAAAAAGGGTTGAGGTAGAAGTGTAACTTTACCGGCAGAGGGATGGTGTATTCATACATGTATGCAAAATATATGAGACGGAGTGCACGTTTACTGTAACAGTGATATTTTGTTTAGGTGAGACTTACAAACAGATAATCCGCAATATAAAGAGAGATTAAAGATCGATGAATATTCAATAGCATACGTAGAGGGACAGAGTGTCTTAGTTTTGCAATTATAGCCTACAGTTTTGCGAATTTTCAAAGCAATATATACAGTATGGTTCTTCATAGAAAGACTGTAGAAAGACGGAATCTTAGAAATCAAGAAAGACATCCAAATTCTTCTAAGATCACTCACTGTCAAATATACTTCTTTTAGGTTGAAAGGGTAATTTCTTTTGATAAGAACGAAATATCACAAAATAAGATTTTTCTTAGTATTAAGGCTTACTTTATTTGAAATACTAGTTGGCCATATGTGTAATTCTAGAAGTTCCGGACTGAAAACGTGTTCTAGTGATTTACAGTCTCTGTCTGACTAAGTATAGAATGTTAGTGTCGTCAGCGAAAAAATAGTTAAGTACAAAGATGTACAAAATATATAATAAAGGTCCTGATACAGAGCCACATATTGTGAAGGTTATCAGATACGGTTGGACTATTTTGCATAATTTACGTCTGGTCTTGTAGATACGATGAAAAGCGTTTGTTTACAACTCCACAAAAAAACAAAGTGATGAGGCAATAGAAAATAATGGAACAGAGAAGGGGGTTTCTTGGGATATGTCGATTTTCATCAAGTTATTTACAGATAGTTTTCCGACCATTCCATGCGTGTGTTGACATGCAATACTGGCTATTGAAATTTAGGTTTATTAGAAATAAATGACGGTGACATATATAAATCACAGGACGATAAAATTTTAAGACCAACTAGAAATTAGGAATCCGTTTTTCCTTGTTCAAAACTGTTGTAACACAGCACCTCCATATGCTGCGAGGCGAGAGTCACGTTTCGCTAAATCCGAAAGTAATGTTGTTTAATTGTTTACTTGCGCAAGTCACGCATCGCTTTTCGTTTCGCGTAAGGCCCTTAGAAAAAATGAGAAGAAAAAAGAATTGAAATAAAATAAAAAAGACGCCCGTCCTCGTGTCGCCTGTGGGTAGGATTAATGCGTCGGCGAACAGCGAGATGAGATCGGCTCTTTTAGTACCAAACTTTCTAGAGAAATAGGCAACTACATTGGGAAACCACGATGCGTTTCACCCCAAGATCAAAACAAATTTTTTTTGCTCTAAATAGTGTTTTCAATATTTTTAGTTGCATCTTGGGTGAGTGTTTCTCGCGCAACACATATAGAGAGGGAATTCTGTTAAAATCAGATAACAAAGATATTGCTTAGGTTCGTTTCATCGTCTGTCTTCAATATGGGGATGATTTTTGACATTTTTGATCCGGCTGGGTTAGGGTTAAGTTTCTAGTTAGATCTGAAGAAATTACATGATTGAATCTCATGGTTGCATGACATATAGCTAAGAAAAAAGTCACGCTAACTGTCTCTGTCACGCAGCGAAAATATCTCATAGCCCGCGGTCATGTCAGTGGTTGTGATCAAGTCAATACTCGCTGTGTGTCACACATTACAAAATAAGTGTCCCAGACAGGTTTTGTCAACTGCCAGACCTTACGTAGTGTTCTTTGCCCCGACGAAGAAATGATTCCTCAGAACCTTGAACCTTGTATGACCACTTTTGATCCGGCTAAACTTTTTAAATAAACGGGATTTTTTTGAGGTAAGTGTCAGTAAGCGTTTGTTGCGGAAGATCGACAACGTGTGTCTTCTTTTGTTTGTGTTGGAAAAATTGAATATTCAAGTTTTAAGGCTCTTTCGGCTCGTGGATTTAAGAAGTCGGTGTAACTTATAATCCAGTTTCGTATAATCCACTTTGTAGAATTACTGTGTTCGGTTAAGGACGATAAAATTGTGGGTTAGATTCGACTGTCTTCACAGATAAGAAAATGATGTCAGTACATATATATTGCTGGTGTCTTCGATGAGATAGACGGCATTCATTTCATTTTCTGAGACGCAGTTTCCTACTAGAAAATAAAACTCTTGTGTTTTGATTCTCAAAGAACGTTTTTATATTTCATTTTCAAAAGGTCTCGATTTGCTCTTGCTTAAAGGAAAATAAAACCATTTGCATTCAGCTTGTGACAGCTGTCTGTTTGTTTGGCGTTCAAGTGTCCCACGACCGACAGCTGTGGAAATTCATTTCACATCAAACTTAGATTTCATTTTCTATTTTAAAAACTCAGATCTTGTCCTGGTGTGAAACACTCAAATAAAAACATTCAGGAAAAAATCCTAAAGTTTAAGAGTGAAGTATCAAAGTGCTTAATACCCTCTTGGACTTTATTTATGTGAAATCCTGGTGTAGCCATGGTTTACAGACACATATTTTAATATAATATCGACACACTGTTTTTACTGTTTGTGATTGGCTGTCTTATCAGACAAGTTTTCAATAGGAACATATGGAATGATAGACATAGGTGTTATAATTAGCAGTGTCTGGACTGTTGATAATAAATATTCAAAAGAAAGTTTAAAGTGTATATGAGGGAAAGATAATAAAAATGTTGATTTTTTAAATGATTTTATGATTCTATGTGTTTTGTGTGATCATGTGGATTTCAGCAAAAACTGAAATCTCTTTGCAGAAGAATTAGAATATTATTTTACCCACTTGATTACAAAAAAGTTGAGCCCCAAAAAAGTGTGATCCATGAATGATAAGGCTGAAATGCTTGATGGGAAGTGCTTGTATAGATATATAATCAGTGATTCACTTTTGTCCCTATTTACGAAAAACTTTTGTTATGGTAATCCTTTCCTTCCAAGAAAGTGTGGATAGCTTAATACTCACCACCTGCTAATGGTGGCTGTTGTGTGTATGTGCACCCAGGGAGCCACAGGGTCTCATCTTTTATTATTGTAAACTCTTTTCTAAGTGTCAACCTTTTTGCAATCGACTGTATGCTGGTGCAAGTGTGCCTGAAGTAATTAGATTAAGTTGTCAAAGGTCTTAATTCAACTTTGAGTTTTTTTTTTTTTCTTTTTTCTTTTTTTTGAGGAAGAATGCTGGTAACTTTTTTTCAGGATTAAGATGAGAATTGTTTCCTTTTTAATTAAGATGTCCATCCAAAAAGATTCATAAGTTTATAGTAATATTATATAATACTTGTGTCACAAAATGATGTAACTACAGTCAAACCTTGATTATCCAAACCTCTTTGAGAATGGCCCTTAATTTTTGCATCATGATGATATTGCTTAATTGATCTGTATTCAGTTTTTTGGTTCATCACTATTTATGCTTTAAATTATCTGTACTCTTGATTATATGGACTCTTTAGCCCAGTCCCACAAGTCTGGATAATCAAGGCTCAACTGCATGTTAATCATACATGTGCAGTATATATTTTGAAATATATATATATATAATATTATATATATATATATATATGTATATAAATGAATGTGGGGGTAGAGAGTACCTTGGCATAAAGTGCTCAATGCTGTGGTAGCAGAGTTAAGTATACATAAGTTAAAGAATTAAAGAGGATGCATTGATTCTCTATGACTCTGAGTTTCGCACCTAAGGGCTTGTCAGAGGGCTTGTCAGAAAAGTTCTGTCTGACAAGCACTTAGGCACGCTACTCAGAATCACAGAGAATCGATGCATCCTCTTTAGTTCTTTAACTTATGTATATATATAATTTATATACATATATATAATTTATATATAAGTGAAAGAATCAAAGAGGACACATGCATATAGAAAGTTCTGTCTGACAAGCACTTAGGCGCGAAACTCAGAGTAACAGAGAATCAATGCGTCCTCTTTGATTCTTTCACTTATATATACTCAGCTCTGCTACCACAGCATTGAGAGGTAGGTAGACTCTACCCCCACATTTATATAATTTTATATATATTTTTTTGATATTGAAATCTTAGGGTACTACTCAAAACTAGAGAGATCAATGAGAAACAAGTCTTTCTTACAAAATAACATTGGTTGCTGTAAAGGTACAATTAGAGGGCATTTTAAGCAAGGTCATCAGTCTGTGGTGTTTTTTACAGATAGAGTGCATGGGTGAGAGTAAGTAAGTGAGTGTTGACTTCCAAATATTTCATTATCATGTAAGTGTACATGTGCACTTAAAACGCCACAAAAGACAGAGGCTTGTTTTGGGACCAGACAGTCTATTAAATGTATATATCTTAGGTAAATAACACACTAGACTATTACATAATAGATATTTGACAAATACAGTAAAACCAACAGTTCAGTAATCAAGAATAAATAACAAACACGAGTGAGATTAATTAAGATACAATCAAAACTGTTGATGGTCTGGATGGGAGGGAAACTTGAACTTTCTTAAAGCTAGAAATAAACTTGTTACTTGCTTGCTTGCTAGATTACTAAAAAGATGTGCACAGATACCTAAGTGTAATATACTAAAGTAATTTTGCAATTAAAACGCATTAGCATGGTGAATAGCCATTGGTTCTACCCAAGTCTTTATGACTTGTATGCTGAACAAATTGCTCAATCTTACAGAAAAGGGAAAATACTAATTTGCACCCTGCTTGTACCCAGTTCAGGCCTCTCAGTTATTGATGTTTAGATTCCAATTCATAGAGATTAATATTCACTTTAGCTGTGTCTTTTTTTTTCTTTCAGTTTGTTTTCATAACTTACAGCGATAATTTATGATACAGGACTTGATATGGATGAAGATAGCATAGTCAGTGATGCTGATTATCAAACTTTGAATCTTTCTTCAGAAGGTCTGCATTAGTTATTGATAATTTCGTTATCTTTTATTCTCTTTCCTAATTTCTTTTTTTTTTTTATATTTTTTAAATTTTAATTTGAAAATTTTTAAGTGAGAGCTTTTTCTTGTCAAAGAACCGAGAGATAGCATGCAACCTCTGGTTCATCAAAAACCTTTTGTTTATTGTACTGCTATTCGCTCAATGTTTTACACCCAAACATTAGTTTACATACACTCCATACTGTTGTTCTCTTTACATTTCTTAAGGTGCTGACAACAAGAATTTGTTTTACAAACAAGAGTTTCTCGTGACCTTAATGTGTGATTTAGGGTCAATATTGTAGGAAGAAATTAGATGCTTGTGGCATTTAAAGTATAGAGTGACAGAGAAATGGGTTTCACACTGAAATGAATCTTTCCTTAATTATTTTTTCTGTACTTCATGTAGATGTAGCTGTTGTTGTTCCTGGAGGGGACTTTCACAAGGTTTATCTCAAGCCAACACAAACAGCAGCAATCAAAAAGAAATGTAAGTTACTCCTGTTTTGTTAACCTTTTACACCCCAATATCAGTATGCATATTCTCCATACTGTTCTCTATACATTTCCTTGGGTGCTGACAAGGAGAATTTGTTTTATAAACAAGAGTTTCATAAGTTGGCGATCATTTCTTTATTCTTGTGACTTTAATGTGTAATTCAGGGGTGATATTGTAAGGAGAAATAAGATGATTGGTAATCATTGGAATACATGTATGTACTTTCTTACTGCAATTGTCATGAAATGTCATGAAGCCAAAAACATTCAGTTTAATGGGTTTTACTCAGAATCAAATGCTCCTTTGTTTGAAGACTGGTTGACACAACTTGTGCGGGGAGTGTCTAAAATATGATTAAGTCAAAATTTTTCCCATTGGCAATGAACCTTTTATATGGATTACAAATTACAATTTGACCTAGTGTGCTGGACATTAAACCAGACTATTCACGTGACAGATTTGTTTTGCAGCCATATTCCAGACTAGACATTAGAGGTATCCTATTAGGACCTTTTCCAGGACATTTGTTTCTTACAAACCCAGTATTAGCCATTATACATTGTGTGCCTCTGGTTTTGTCATGGTTTTCATGAGAACAAGGCTTCTATAATTTTCCTGAAGCTTGTGGAATCAAGTTAATGGCCCCTCATGGCCAATGCAGCATGCAGTGCGTACTGGTCAAAACTGGATCTTTAAATCAGCCAAAAAATTGAAAAGAAGCTCTTAAGTGAGGTTGTTTAGAAGGGTGTCTCTATAAAAAAGTTTTCGAAGCTACTACTTATTGGTGAAAGTGACTCCTAGATGAATTCTTTGTGAATTTGACTGGTTTTCTTGTTAATTGTTTTATTTGGTAATCAAGACCAACCTCTATCAATCCCATCCTATCTAAGTAAGTACATGCTTTTCTTGGATCTGATCCCAAGTGGAAATTATCCATGCTAGGGTGCTTCAAGGTACAGTTAACCCTTTAACTCCCAAGATGGGAGTAGTAATTCTCCTAAATGTCTGCCGAATGATTTCCATTTTGTTAGTTTGGAGAATTTGGTACTTGATCAATTAGCAATCTCATAGTTGGTATTTTAAATTTCTTTATTTTCATTACTTGTCTGTTTGATATTGTGTAGATATAATAAAGAGAAATTCTGTCTTGGTCACTCTCAGGAGTAAGAGGGTTAAGGGAGCTATAAAACTGTGCATGTGATTTTTTTTTTTTTTCTGAGTGTTATTTTTTCTATCTTTCATCTGATGTTCATAGATTCAAAAGGACCTAGAAGACCCCAACCAAAGAAAGAGCTGTACTTAAAACTGGATGAAATCTTGTTTGATGCTCTTCGTCAAGAGTTTGAAGTGTGTCCAGGTTACACTATTGATCGACTCTATATGGTGAAGTTCTTGACAAGTGTTGTCCAACGACATTTAAGTGACTTTCCAGATCTTGACAACCTTTTGAACCTTCGAGACACTGTGTTGACTGGTCGCATCAAAAAGGTTTTTCCAGAGGTAGAGTATAAGAGAAGACAGGTCAAAGAGGATCAGTATAGGAAGGCGTATCCTTTTGGGAAATTGAAAAGAAGTTTTTAGAAATACAGTGTATGATTAAATTCAATTTTCGATTAAGTGTAAAAAATAATCTGGGGTTGTTTTGGTTTCGTTTTACTTTGCACTGGAATTGGTTTGAATTAAGTGTATGCCACCTTGTTGATCAATCAGATTCAAAGCTGAAACCAACTGCTATTGTCTTTGCTTTCTTGTGATATTTTCTGTTATTCTTATTGCCTGTTGTGAGTACTTTGCTTTTGATTTTTCAACACTCAAGCAAAGTTAACTACTGTACTGGTTTCATTATTAGGAATATTAGAAAACTATGGGGTTGAATGTTTGGGTGGGAGGATTGATGAGGGATACTCCATAGGAGAACCTAGGGTGCATCTGAGGAAGGGTGGTCACTACAGAGGCTGGTAACTTTAGGATTTTTTTTTTAGTATTGATGTTAGTTTTGGAAGATCAATACTTCTAGATGGTCATTAAGTTTCACTTAGCAATAGCAATTGGTTTTTTAATAAATTTGATTCAATGTTTGACTCCTTGACTAAACTCTTCAGGTGGTTGTATGTAAATATCAGAAGGAAACCTTCCAGAACCACTCATCATGATGAAGGTAAGACTTTTGTATATTAGCAGTGATAAATGTTTTCTCTTTTTTCTAGAACATTTTTTTCCAAATCTGGTGTCTTGCTGTTGAAATGTAAGCATTTTTCTGTAATAGCACAGATGTTTAGATTGGCGAGTTATTAGCGGATCAAAGTTGCCAATATATCCTCTGGGTTGTCATATGTTTCCACTATTTTTACTAATTGTTTGAACTGGTCGAGCTAGACTTACTACAGTAGTTTCAACTCAGGTCATGAAAAATATAATGCAGGCAGTTCAACTCCTCACACATCACACTAACATCAGCATTCATATTCCGCTCCATAATGTTCCCCAGACATATCCTATGGTGCTGACAGCAAGACTTTATTTTTAAAACAATCGAGATTTTCTTTTGTGTTTGGTCCTTTGTTCTCATGATGTTAACGTTTGACTGAATGGGGAATAACCCTTGAACCCTGACAGTTACTTGTATCTAATTTCTCCTCACAGTATCTGTGGTGAATCAAAATGTAAAAGTCTTGAGAATAAAGGATATGATCACCAATTTTAGAAGCTCCTGATTGTCAAACAAGTTCTCCTTGTCAGTACCATATGAAGTGTAGAGAGACCAGTATGGAGAATATGAAAATTGATATAAGGATATAAAAGATTTCGGGTGAAACAATTTGTAGCTGAAAAATGGATAGAAAATTTAAGGTTTTAGGGCAGATTGATCTTATCTCGCATTTATTTTACATCGTATCTGACCATATCCTACTGCCAGTTCTTAGAGATTTCAGAGAACAGAGAACTGACAGTTAATATTTTCAAACCACAGTTAAAATTGAAAGTGTTAGCACCACTAGCACATGGACACCACCTGTTGCTTCTGGAAATGTATCACGGAAGCGAGCGTCACCTGCACCACACTCCTCATCATCAGCAGGTGCCGGCCATCACCAAAGCTCACCCGCTTACACAAGTGCCACATTGGAGCGCTGTAGCCCCAATACGATGGTTGTAGACAGCAGCGGTGTAGGACTATACGGTGGCGAGTCTCCTGTGTGTGATAGTGGTTCTGATAGTATGGCATTAGATGTTAGCACTCATTTCAACGTCGAATGTGAAGAGAGTGAGAGATCAGCTTTAGTTATGGACAGCTCCAATTTGCAGGAATGGTAAGAGGAGAAACAATCTCCATACTGTTCTCTAAGAATTTTCCTTGCTAACAAGGCTTCTTTAGTTGGTGATCATTTCCTTTATTCTTATGACCGTAATGCGTGATTCAGGAATAATATTGTGAAAAGAAATTAAGTGCTGGCAGTCAAAAAGTTAAATGTGCATTTTGTATCACTAGAAATGAAGCCTTGAAACTTCCCTAATGCTTCGGACTGATAGCCATAAATCGCGCCTGAGTCGATGGAGGGATTGAGGCGTGCGAAAGCTGGATCACATTTCGCAAACGAAACGGTCTCAAACATTGTCTCGTTACTACAACAATTACCAGTAGTTGTTGAAGGTACTAATTCACCATTATGGTCGGAATGGAGGTCAAATAACAACGTTTGTTGTACTGAACAGGACTATCCCTTTAGAAAGAGGAGAAGATAACGAGGGGGTGTACTGTGCTGATTTCGAATTTCCCTCCCTCCCCTCCCTTGCTCTCTTTCGCACGCTTTGACACCTACATATACGGTTTACTTTCAACACAAACAAGACTAAGTTAGTGTTTTAATACTGCAATGTTTAGGGTGGTTTCAAGCTACGTGCAGGACAGTTCATGGTATGTTCCCGTTCAAGATGTGGTGAAAGCATTCAAAAAAGATTTTAATGTGGACATCACGTACAAAGAATGCCACCAGCTAGTCCTGTCCGCTTACGCCAGTCCTAGAAACCGACTGATCCCCAAGAAGAACGTACGAGTGTCTTCCATTGGGCAGCAGTATGTGTACAGGGGAATAAGACCTATCAATAAAGGTTCTGGGTCTTCTGAGAAATTTCAGGTAACTTCGATGTGTTTAAAGTGGCTTTCAAGAGCTTTCTTCAAACTCGTTCTCAGGGTCCTCCCTCTTTCTCTCTCGAGAAGGGACCCTGGCTGCGGCTCAGTCACGTGCCTATGCAGACCAAAGAATGCCGTAGGGAGCAAGAGATTTTAAACTGTTTTTAACCTTTTGTTAGGGGAGTAGAGGGCTGGGTCTTCGACACAATCTTTTCCAACTCCTTAAGCTTAAGCTGGGGTCCAAAAAGTTTCCCCCTACCCATCCTGTTAGTATTGACAAAAACTTAACGCGCAAGACCGTCCCTTGGTTTGGTTTTTGTGTCTCCCAATTTCTAAGAGACACATGACCAGCCTCGAGGGTGGAAGAGAAAAGACCCTGGGAACGAGGTTCGGTCTTTCTTGACGCAGCTACCTCGCGATATTTTCATTAAATTTTTTTTTCTTTTGCAGTATATAAAACATTTTTGACTAGGAAGAGACAGGAAAATATTAACTTTGTTAGCTAGATAGAAAAAGACGAAAGTGATGCGATCGCCCCCAAGATTTCATTAGTACTTCTCTTTACTGTCTACTATAAAGTCGTTGATGATGTTAGTTCGGAGACGTTGATGATGTTAGTTTGGAGACGTTGGTATTGGATCAACTAATTATCTTTTAATTGGCATTTTTCTTTTTTCTCGTCACTTGTCTACTTGATATTGCATTGATGTTTTATGGAGAAATTCTGTCCTGGTTATGTAATATAGTTCAAGTTATTTTTTCCCGGAAATCGTTGCAACTGGGAAAGTCTATTGACTGGCTCATTTAGTATTATCAACTGAGTTGATAACGTAAATTGGCCACCGTAAAGAGTTTTAAAGCTGACGTTTCGAGAGTTAGCCCTTCGTGTAACCATTAGCCCCTTCCTTCATTCGCTCTGACGAAGGGCTGACGCTCGAAACGTCAGCTTTAAAACTCGTTACGGTGGCCAATTTACGCTATCAAATCAGTTAATAATGCTAAATTACCCTGTTATACTCTCCCACCGACGCAGCACCACAGTTTCCTCAGAAACTTACCCTCATTATTCAAGGTTATTGACTGTCTGTTTGTCTTTGTTTTTCTCCTTGATTTGAAACTTTTGAAACTACAATGCAACTTGACTCTTGAATCTCTATGCCTGAAACTCGTAAACTTTGCGAAGTGTTCTCGTTAAAGTCTCGTAAACTAATTCCCGAAGTTTCTTGTAGGCTAAAAACGAATTAGAGTTCGCTCGAACCTTTCAAGGGGAGGATTCTAGCGAAGAGCCCGAGGAAGACTGGAAGCAAAGGATGAAGGAATTGACTGATGAGCGCGACCAAGCATTAAAGGAACGGAATCAGGCTCTCTCGGCCCTAATGGAACTAGAAAAAGAACATGCTGAGGCATTGGGGACAATAGAGAGAATGAGGAAAGAAAAAACCAGAAGTAGCGTGGCTGAAAACTCTTTAAGGACGAAGAGGGAAACGGTAGTCAATAGCGTAGAACTCAGCGCGAATCACTGCAAAGAATCGTTGTTTGAAAAGTTGTGGGAAAGATTAGGAGGAGCAAAAAGCGATTTTGTGGCAGAAAAGAAAATGGAATGTGATCGAGATAATTCTGATTATTCACTCTTGAAGGAGATTGTCACGCAAGCGAATGAAGAGCGTGACAATTTACTGAAAAGGTTAAGGGTGGTTAAAACTGAAAGGAACTCGTATTTGGAGCGCATTCACTTGTTGGAGAAAGAAAACCAACGACTGCGTGACGCTGTAGATTTTCAGCACACCGATGTGTCACAGCACCGGCTGTTAGATGACATTTCACGACATTTGCAAACTAGCTGTCACGGTGAAAATGACCCGAAAGAAGCGTTGAGTTCTGTTCTGGCTCATTTAAAATCAAAGCGGTAAGTGTCTCATAATAGGCCATTTCCGAATTACCTTTGGCCTCTTTTTCAAGGCGAGTCCTTGAGCTCATCCTCTCATATGATTATAGGGTTTCATTCACATACAAATTAAACTCATATTCATGCGAATGGTTGAGCACCTGGCCTCGTTTTGAAGAAGAGGCCACTTTCATCCAACTGGCATGGAAGCTATCAGATGATTCCGAAAATAATCGCCATACGAATAAAGTTCATGAACGAAAAATTGCTGAAATTGTTCAGACGCTCTTTCATGTGAAGAATCATAATTTATGTTATCATGTTCAATCTCATCCAATAATTGCTTCATATCTAATCTAGTGTTTATTTGTAGGTATCAGCTAAAAGAATTTAGGCCTCCATATCTTTTTTCTACTTTCAGAGAGAAGTTCAGACCTACCTTAAATTTGCGACTGAACAACCTTGAAATTTTTCATCACTTGGCCATCAACCGATGTAAATTAAAACTAGTTATGTTTGTCTTAGCAATATCATTGTAGACTATTGCGAACCATCTTAAATTGTGATGGGCTTTTGAATGATTGTGATAAACTATCTTTGTCTTCTTTGATCCACTCTAATCATTTTATTATTATTGCTATTATTATTATTTCAGGAAACAAGTGACTCCGTCTCGGTTAAACAAGTCTCCAAGACTTGATCATGGCAGTGGTAGAAATAGCAGCGAGGATCCAGCTACTCACCCAGTTACTTACACCTTGTCTTCAGAGATACGAGACAATGGAACAGCTTTTTCAGGGGACATAGGCGCCTCAAACGATGAATTTCTGAAAGAGAGATCTGAGGGATTAGTAAATGGCAATTTCGACAACAAAGAAAGTAACGCAAGCACTAAACAACCGGATATTGAGCAAGATTTTCTCGTTTTTACATCAGGTAGTGAAATGATCGAGTTCTCACGACATCCTCTGGAGGACTAAGTTCGGTACAGCATGTGTCTTCCATCACAGAATGCAGTTTTTTGGGTATGAATCTAGCTCGCTAACTTTTACTTGGCGAAGAGAGCATCTATACTTAATTTAAAAGGGTTATCAGAACTCCTTTTTGTGCTGTACGAGTTGTGTTTAAGAACGAAGTTGCATTTATATATCGTACTCAACCGGAATTGTACTCCACCGGAATCGTCCTCAATTGTATTTCAGTCGTATCGGAGTCTTCTTCTCAGGTCGTACATTAGTCGTACTGGAATTGGTCCTAGTTGTTTGACGATCGTGTCAGGGTCGTCTACAGTCCTATTGGAGTCATCTTTGGTCGGTTGTGACTCGTACCAGGATTGTCTATAATCGTACCTGAGCTATTCCTGGTCTTACATTATTCGTGCTGGAGTCGTCCTTAGTCGTTTCGGGTTCGTCTTCAGTCGTACATGAGTTGGCCTTAAGTCGTATATTAGTCGTGCCTTGGTCTTACACAGTGTTACTTCTGTCGTACTGAATTTGTAGCGGTTTGCTTGGTAGAGCTGTAGGTTTACTTCATTTGTTCACAGTCGCATCGAGTTATTACGTGAAAATTCCTTAAGGTCGTTTACTTTCTGGCTGAGGATAAAAGTCACCACCTTAGCAAGAGTTATTCGTTTCATGTAGATTTTCATACGCGCAGTCAATCCACTGCTAAATTCGGGCGGTTGATTGTAGTCATATTAACACCAGAGCTTTGATGGACGTTTTAAACGAGGTAAAACTCAGAGTGCAGTCTTTACATTAGAGGGTGCTCCGACAGCATACCAAGTACTTAGTTTTATATGGAATTTTTCCTTTTTTCGTCAGCAGAACTAGAGCTTTACAGTTAAACATAAAGAGTTCTTCCCCTTAATTTATTGAGTACGTAATTTATTTTAAACTTCGATAACTTATTATGCTATTATGTTATGTTATTAGTCTTTTTTTTTTTCTCAGCAGAAGAGCGGGGTACCGGTAATGTTGTTAGACGTGGGATAAGCGGGTAAATCGGCAAACATTAGATCTTTGTTATTGTTGCTTTACCTTGCTTTTGTTGTTGTTGTGGTTAGAGTTGATCAATCTATGTAGCATTTGTGTTATCGATTTATTGACATCACACTTCTTTATTCAAGCAGTAAAGGACTTCCGTGGTCACATAGCCTCATTTAAACACGAGAGTGGTGGTGTTGGTTGAGGGAGAGGGGGAGGGGGAGGGGGAGGTTGGTGAAAATCTGAGACAGTGATACATGCCCTTGAGGGTTTGAGGGTTTGCTTAGGGTTACTTCGTAAAAATTACCTCCGTCTTCCCCCCCTTCCCCCCCACCTTCCCTAAGGTGTTCAGACAAGGCTGTGAGGATACAGAATAAGACCTTTGTTTCTTTGGAGTAATATACCTTTTCAATGCGCCCTAATCTAAAGCATGATAACAGTGTTCACAAGTACCACTCGAGCAACGTGGGCACACGTGGTTTCTAATTCATTTATTTACGAAGTGATATAAATTCGTTATATAAGATTGTTACTTATTGTAACTGTATAAATTGTAAATTATTTAACTTGGGTTTTCCTAAGGTCAATTTTTAGTTAAAGAAAATAGGACAAAGAACACAATTCAATATACTAAAGAAATAATCTTAACTGACTCCTGCGTATTGTCATAGCAGTAAAAATTCTCCTTAGGTTTTGCAAAGCGTTTTTAATCGACTGTCTAAATGATAGCGTCTCGGGTTTTGCTTCACAGCGGCCTTTGACTGGTCTTAAAAACACGTGTCACCCTTTCGACCAATCAGATGCAAATGTAAAGAAAATTGCACCTTGTCACTCGCGTTTTCCCGCGCAGTAGGCAGTTTGCTTGTTTTTACTTTGAGTTCTTATTTTAATCCATGTGATACTTTCTTTGCTCTGATTGGTAGATTTTATTACTTTGCTTTTGTTTTTAAAATATTCAATCTAAATTTGCGTTAAAGGATCATACATACGTGGCTTTTATTGTTAAGAAATAAACACTGAAGTTTCTTCGTACTTTGTGTCCTTTGTCCGTAAATTGGAACAGGTTCAACGCGCATGGCGTGTTCTGGGATAATGTCAGTCTGTATTTGTTAAGAAGGAGACTCGGAGCGTCAATTGATACCACCCCGGACTCTCGATTATGTAAATTATAATCCTAGTAAGAAACTCTTGGTCCAAACTTAAGCCCGGTTGGTTCGATTCGCTATATGGTGGCTTCTGGCGAAATGTGTTTCTCTCACAGCGTCTCTGTCCAAGCAAGCTTGGTATCGGGTACCAGCAAACAGGTATATTCCCCTTCAGTGGAGAAGCCAACCTCGTCCCCAGGGTTTTCTCGGTTTTTTAAAATTTCGGTCGGTCGAATCTGGACGCTTTCTTCGTACCGCCATCTTCAAAAAAACCTGCCTAAGAAACCTGTTAAGACGAGGTTGGAGGGGAAGCTATGTTCAAAATTACTTCACGCTGCCTAAACTAGGGCTTTTGGAGATTGAACTTCCCTAAATTATATTTCCGTTTTGACTAGAACAGTTACCGACACCTTAAGTAATTTGGTAACAACCCACCGTAAGGGTGCACGTTCAAACGCTTAATCGGCCCAATCCGTTTTTTCAGGCGAAAAGAGCAAGCAGAGGTTCAGAATTTTTTTCCCCAGCGCCTGCAGCAGAAAATTTCTTTGAGAAAACCACTGAAAAATAGTAAGAAAATGTATTCACATTTGCTGGTTGGTGCGCATGCTCCACCATCCGTCTCAAGGCCTACGACCAAAGCTCCTTTCCTGACTTCAGGTCCTTCAGGGTGTGCAGACCCTCAGTATACTTTACGCTTCTTAGATGAAATAAATTGACTAGAACAGCAACAAAGCCAAAAAACCAAAAGGCCAGACACAATAAAAAAAAACCAAAACAAAACAAACAAAAACAGTGAACAGCAACAACAACAACAACAAAAGAAACGCACACGCAACATAAACAACCAAACACAAGAGAAAATACTGAAATCTTAATGTAGACAATAACAGAAACGGTTTTATCCATCTGTCTTAGATCCTATGTGATTGAAAAGGAGTGTGCTTTAGAAGCCTTCCCACTGCCGCGACATCACTGTACGCTCTACAAAACTTCCCGGTCACCTCTTCGATCATCTCGCCCTCAGGCAAGAGATGTCTATATTGATTTTTACGACGTAGTACAACTAAGAAAATTTAATTTATTCCGCGCACTCCGACAGTTACTCACACAGAATAATATTTTAAACTAACACTTAAATTTGACCATAAACAACTGTTTAAATAACAAAAGAAAAAGTCTTTTGTCCGATTATTGGCTTATCAACAATTCCTGTGATTTAGAGTCCATTTCAAGTAACAACCGTCAAATAAATTTGTCATAACAACAGTCTAGTCAGACGCGGTTACGGAATATTTTTAGCCCGATAACGCGCGGCTGTATTAAAAAAAAAACTGTTATTTTCCAAAGTTCAATTTCGTGGCATTGATCGATGTTAGCCGTCCTCAGACCCAGGTTCTTTGAGTATTTCTGAGACAATGAGTCGGCGAACGACCAGCGGTTTTTCAAGAAAGCAGGCGTGATGAGTGTGATCGAGAGGAAAGAGATCAGAAAAATTCCTCTAAGTTCATCTTTGTAGCTGCGGAAAACTGTCATTTGTGGAGGTATCATCATGTCGACTTCACCTTACCATATAGCGTCTCTTTTGGACAAGGTAATGTGCATTTGAGTTATTTCACTTTCTTTGGCGATGGCAAACTTTTCATTTTAGTTTGTGTACGTGTGGGTGCAGGTTACAATGATCCATGATCCGATCCCACCGCTGATAACTGACAGTGCAGTTCTTCAATCGATTATTTATGCCACTTTGTTCCATCAAAAAGGTGTGAGCTTTTTGGTGAGGACGGTTTCATTTCGACTTATTGTAAAATAGGCACTAGAAGGGATTGAATTCGTTTACTTGTGATCTCGAAAACAAAAAGAGAAATGTCAAACAGATTGCAGAATAATTGTATCCGCTCAGCTTCGATCAGTGATCGCGCATGTATGAAAAAGCCCACTTAACGGCAGCTCGGAGTTAGTAGATTGTTATTTTCTGTCGGTTACCTTTCCTCTTACGCTGAAACTGGGTAGATATGGGCTCGCAACTGCGAAAGACGTCGTTTACATCTTGCGCCTCTCTATTCATGACAGCCTGACTGTAGTCTCCTCTATGGCTGCCTCTTGCTACTCAGATGTACTCAAAACGATCGGTGAAAAAGTAAATGCAGATAAATCTGTGTTGAGTGAATGGGTATTCCAATATGTAGTGAAGATAATATGTTCCATGTAAATTTACCAGCCATGTCCAGTAGACTTCCTTGTACTCAACTGTCAGTGATGATCAGTTCTCATATTCTCCACACTGATTTGATATAATGTAGTGAAAAGGGAGAAGGCTATCTCCAAATTTCCGACTTAACATTGCAGGGTTAATTTACAAACAACAGTGTAGTCATCAGTTACAGAGCTTTGAAGTTGATTTAATCCTTTAACTCTCGCTAATGACTAAGACTGTATCTATACAATATCATGGAGACAAGTGATGTGAATAAAGAAAAATATCAAGGATGAGATTACTAATTGATCTGGTACCGAATTATCCAAACCAATGTAATGAGAATCATTTGGCAGACTGTAAGGAGAATTGGGAGGTAGAGGATTATAGGGAACAGAGTGAAATTTCAACCACATAGCCTTCAATTGTAATGCAGTAGGCATCACCTTCCTGGAGAGAGAGAGAGGAGGGGAGGGTATGGGGGCATACTCCCCATTACTCTGTGCGAGAATATCCTCTGTTGGATGGTGTTTGAAGCAAATAAAAAGGGAACAAGGAGTAAATGATGTTTAGAAGGATAATTGAATTAATACGTAGTAACCAGTAACAATAACATCATTTTGCTATCTCAAAATCAACAATTTAGATGAAAGAAGTTTAAATGCATGAAAAATAATAGTTTCAGTGTAGGAGCATAAAATTGAATTTGTCTGCTCTGTAGTAGATAAAATTAGCTTTTGGGTGTGAGAAGGTAAAATGGTAATGCTGCCAAAAAAAACAGGATTTTGTTACAGCTGTGTTGCTCTGTTTCTTTGTTTGTTTCTTTTTAAGAACATCTGTTGCAAGTGCTTTAAGTTTTTTCCTTTCTTTTTGTGGAGTACCTATGTGTCAGCTGTAGACACTTACAGTGAAACAATCTATGAACAGTCCTGACATAGCCTTCCCATTTTTTTTTCATAAGAAAATTTTATCTGTATTTTAAATTTGCTCTGTGAAAGATATATAAATTAATTTAAATAGTGTTCAAATAATGCTTTCCTTTTTGCAAAGTATTTTCACATGTTCTCTCATCACTACAGTTCTCAAAGCCCAGGGCTAAAAATTAACTCCAGTGCTCGGTGGCCAGTCGGACCAGTTTCCTTGAATTCTTAGTGGCCCATCCCAAAATGAAGTAGCCCTCGATTTCCTCTGGTTTAAAATGAAAAACTTGAATAAATGCCCCATGGCTTTTAACAAAGCATTAACTAAAAGGAAAGAAAAAGCTCGTGAAATCACTGTTAAAACAGCTCAGAATTTCCACTTCAGAACTAAATAATTCGTTAAAATGGATGATCTTAGAGTCCTGGCAACAAAATGAAGAGAAGGGTTATCCAATTAAACTACATATTGAGTTTTATTTTTAACTTTGTACTTTGCATAATTTACATTGCAACTTTTCAAAATTTTGTAGCATAGTCGCACATCGGGCATTCAAACCTTAACTTTTGGTGGCCCTGGTCAGTTTGAACTCGGCACTGGTGACTTTGCGACCGCCAATTTTTAGCCCCAAAAGCCCATAGTATCTGAGAAAAGAATACAGTCATGTGTGTTTTATAGAGCCTGGAGGGCAGTTTTAGTCTGAAGACAAACAAACCTAAATTTTAAACTCTGAAGTCTCCCAACTAGTAATTAATTTTATTTCCCTACACAATTAGCATCATGTCTTTTGCGCGTTTGCTTGTATTAATTGTCATTCTTTGGCTTGTGTTTAGATGACATCAAGTGACAAAGACTTCAGATTTATGGCAACAAATGACTTGATGGCTGAACTCCAGAAAGATTCTATAAAACTGGATGACGACAGTGAAAGAAAGGTCAGTTATGCGTGCATGTACTCAGCCAAAACTTATATTTCCTGGGGCTCCAAGCACACCTTGTTTCAAAGTACTTCTCTTTTCTTTTCTCTTTTGTTTGTTTGTTTTTTGCGATGTCAACCTTTACATACCTGTAAGCAGTTGTAACCTTTTTTTTCGGATCATTTCAGGTTGTTCAGATGCTTTTGAAATTGCTCGAAGATAAGAATGGTGAAGTACAGAACCTTGCTGTTAAATGGTGACTATGTCATTTTCTTGGCATCTTTTGGTTGACATGATCTGATACTCTAAATATTACAGAAAATTAATATTTTGTATTCAATCATGAAACCTCTGGACCTGGTCCAGAATTACAATTCACAGTCAAAACAGTCCAAATGCACCTCTTGCTCAAAGAGTAACTAAATTCAGAGAAATTTACATGAACGCCTTCATCTCCCTAAATCCAATTGAAATTTGATGTGTTTTTGCATGGAATATTCAACAGAATTTGTGTTATACAATCATTTGACTGAGCTTCTATTCAGGGTTTTCAGCAAGAAGTGGTGGCTGGGAAAATTCACCAGCTGGATGTTCAGTATCTGGCATGTTTGGCAAACACTCCCTTCCTAACTCTTTAAATCCCAGATCAAATTTGTAATTCTCCTTACTGTCTACCATACAATTCTTACAATATTAGTTCAGCTAATTTAGTATTGGATCAACTAATTATCCCCCAATTGATATTTTTCTTTATTCTCATCATTTGTCTGTTTGATATTGTATTGATATTGTAAGGAGAAATTCTGTCTTGGTCACTCATGGGAGTTAAAGGGTTAACTTACTCCTGAATCTTTGTTGCCTATTTGGATTCTTACTGAAAATTCTGCTCTTTTGATAACATGTCTTATGGTATGGTGTATGTATATGTATATGTATCCATACTTCTTATCTTTCTTTTAATCCCATTTTGCTTTCTCTCTCCTTCCTGTCATCTTTCCCATCTATAAACTTCTCCTCTGTCTCCCTCTTGTTTCAGTTTCTTTTCCCCTGTAATCTTCCTTTCGTCTTCACCCTAGAGTCAGTGTACATGTACATATTTTCCATACTGTTCTCTATGCATTTCCATGTAACTGTCAGTAAAAAAAATTAATGTGTTGTATTGTTGTTATTTTTACCATCTCTAGCCTTGGCCCTCTGGTTAGTAAAGTCAAGGAACATCATGTGGAGACCATAGTTGATTCACTCTGCTCAAACATGCTGTCAGACAATGAGCAACTGAGAGACATTTCAAGTATTGGTAAGCAGTTAAGAATCAGCAGACTTTGTGAATGCATATTTACACAGAGGACATGTCTTTTGTGCAAGATAACACCTTTGGACTAGGAAAAAGTTTAGTCTTATGAGAAGTTAAATCATCAGTGATGAACAAGTGTAGGAATAGAACTTGAAGGCTTGGTAGCATGACAGTGAGTTACAGTTATCCTCACCAAGTTGCACTGAGGTGCCACAAAACAATGAGCTGGAAAAGAAGGTGCACAGGGGATTGAATTTATCTGAGCTTGACGCTGGGCACTGAAATGTCTACTGTGTTTAAAAAGGAAATATTAACCAATTGATATAATGAATTCAACAACTGACTGTATAAAAACATACATTCTGTACAGTATTTGAAATGATCTGATGTCTGCAAGAAAGCTCTACTTTTAAACATTTCTTACTGTCCATATTCAATACTGTATATCAAGCTTTGCTGAAAAGGTTTTCCTTTTGAGGGAAATTTCCCATACAGATGCAAAGGATAGATGTACATGTATGTTGTACTTGTCATTGTAGGTTTGAAAACAGTTATTGGTGAATTACCCCCTGCTTCATCTTCACTGGCAGCCAACATCTGCCGAAGAATAACTGGTAGACTCACAAATGCTATTTCCAAGGTAACTGTTTTAAGAAATGCAGGCAGCATCTCCTTGCAATGGATATTAACAGAAAAATTACTCTTGTATTCATGTTATAACATTATAAAATGTGACTACGGTACACTTTTGTACAGTACATTGAAAACAGAACAACACCTGTATGTGGTGTTTCTCATGCATCTCAGTTATGAGTAATTGGGCTTAGTGTCTTTTTTTTTTTTTTTTTTTTGGAGATAGCTAACTCAACAAGGTTTTACATCTTGAACAAATATTTTGGTTTTATGGATTTCCTGTTAGTGGAAAGTTGACTGTGTATAGATTGGTCCAGAATTTTTTTACCAAAGAAAAATTTTATATAAACAATTTTACACTGTCAGCATGGAAACACCTCCTCAGTGGAAATTCTTGATTTGAATGTGTCATGTGATTCCATACCAATTAGGTTAAAAAATAATTTGATGCAATTTAGATTTTTTTGTGTTTTACTATTTGGCAAAATGTGCAACCCCTCCATTCATGTAAGCCTTTTTACAGCTGTATGTACTGCACTATATAGTTGTGTTATTTTTTTTTTTTGTCAGAGCACTGATGTTTCTGTCCAGCTTGAGGCCTTGGATATTCTTGGTGATCTTTTGAGCAGGTTTGGAGGTGAGTGAAACAATCTTTCCTAAATGTTAAAGTTGTATTATACAGCATCAGCTAAACTAACACAGTGATGCAAAGGGCTGAGGCTTGCAAGGTCAGCCTTAAAAATTGTTCACCATGGCCAATTTACAGTATCAACTCAGTCGATAACCCCCCCCCCCCCAAAAAAAATATCTTGCAACACCCCCCTTCCTTATCACAGCAGCACAGTTTCATCATGAACTTACCCCCCTCTTAATCCTTTCCCTGCTCATGCCCACTCACACATTGTAGTCAGTGAAACTGTAGACATGATTAGTAGTCACTCCTAGATGCAAACCAGTTAATCCCTGAGAGGGACTAGCATCTAAATTTTCCGTTTTAATATCACCCCTGAGTCCAACATGAGAATACAGGAAATGATAATTAAATGAAGAACCTCTTGATTGTTAATCAAATTCTCCTTGCCAGCACATTAGAGAATGTATAAAGAACAGTATGGAGAATATGCATACTGATATTAGGGTGTAGAGGATTAACAAACAATTATTATTAATTTGACAGGACTATTGGTATCATACCACCAGTCTATTCAGCAAGCTCTGTTACCACAATTAACAAGTGCCAGGCTTGCTGTCAGAAAGAGAACCATCATTGCACTGGGTAATAAAATAACCTTCCTGAGTACTTTGAATTCGCATGAATGAACATATTATACTAGAATTATGCTCCAGAAACCATAAGTCTCTGTCCCTGTCACGAAAGGTACATGTATTATTTAGAAGGTTAATTTATATAGTATACACTATTTTTAGGTTTCACAGAGTAACCAGACTGCTGTACAATAATTGTCTTTAAAAAATTCTGAACGTGCTGGTTGCCATTTTGAAAATAGTATACATTTTAGTACTTTGCATGTACAGCTGGATTTCATGAAATCCAAATTTTTTTTCTTAAATTGCTGCTACCCTGATTGTACGCATAGCTGGAAAATCATTGTTGGGGCAGGGCTGTCAAAATAAACTGGCAGAATGACATTGTGCTACCTTCTTTATAACACAAACTGGTTTTCAAAATCTTTTTGTCAACCCTCTCAGATTGAAGAGCACCTTTGATGGTACATGTAGCTCTTTGGTAAACCTCTCAGGAAATTAATTGTACATGTTTGACATGATTGTGTTCAATGCAGGTCATCTTGTGTTAAGTGCAAACAGCAGTTTGTTTGTTGAACTAATGGATCATTTGCTTGCTGAACTGAAGCAAAATGCCTCACATTCTACAACTAGAACTTTTATCCAGTGCATAGGAGCAATATGGTAAGTCACATTCTTTTGTATGGAAACTCCACACAATGAATTGTTTTATCACGAATCCCTCTTTTTATTTGGTTTTCATTTGTTGAAGTGAAACAACTGCAGAGAAAGAAGCCAAAAAAAAAAAAGAAAAAAATAAAGGAAAGAAAAATTAGGCTTTGGTGGATTTTGAACCCCTCTTCCCAGATATGAGTTGATTGAAACTCTCAGCTTTCTCTACAATTTTCCAATTGATGTGCATTGGTGGGGATCAGTTTGTCATTTGACTGTTACATTTGATTGTACCTTAGTCGCCAAGCTGGTCACAGAGTTGGAGAACATCTAGAGAGAATCATACCCATGATAGTACAATATTCTAGAGTTGAAAATGATGATGAGCTGAGAGAATACTGTATTCAGGTTAGCCTTGACTCCTTCTTTGAACTACCAGCATGCAGAACAGTTTCCTTTACATGTGCTGTTATGTTCTATTCCAAGAGCACTATATGTATTTCTGAGCTTTTGGTCCAACTCCATGTGCTTCAGAAATGTAACTCTTAGTTTGCTTAGTCTGTAATATTCCCTTGAAACTTTTTACAAAACTTTATTCATTTTTTGTGAACTCTTTGCAATTATGAGATGAGCATTCAAGCTCATATTAGGAACTTAGGCAAGTCTGTGTGCACAAAGCTGGCCCCAGTTGATATCTTCCCTTTATACAACTGGAGCCTGGAGTAAAAAAATATGCAAGGCTTTCACAACATTTCAAAAGTTTCTCTGTTTTTCCCCCACCCCACTCAATATCCTTGCAATGTGAAAGAGTATTAATAACAGAAAGTGTTTGGTGCTGCAACAAACTTACTTTCCCCACAGTGTTAATATTGTGCTATGAAAGGAGACAATATGTATCTCAGCACATAAAAAAAGAATATCAAACTGGCACTAATAACATTTCAAGTGGTTTGTGTGGTGCACATGTGTTGTGCTACATTATATGATGCTTGAAAAGGGTTTGTTTGGTGCACATACTGTTGTGCTACATTGTATGATGCATAAAGAGGTTTATGCACTGCACATGCATGTGCATATTTTATGATGCCTGGGTTGTGCCGGTTGTGAAGTATGTCTCTCTTTGTTTCTTTTGTAGGCATTTGAATCATTTGTTTGCAGATGCCCCAAAGAAGTAACCTCTTATATTCCAAAGGTAATTGTAGAGAGAGGAATATAAGGAAAACTCATGCTGTTGCTAAACTTCAAAAGATTGTTAGTGCTAATCCAGGATTAAAATCCAAACGTGGATTTGATAAACATTTTCTTATGGCATAAATACAATGTACAAAGGCTAAACTTTTACAGGGTCTCATCTCGGTTTAAAACAATACTAGAGGAAACAAAACATTACACACATCTATGCTATGTTAAATGATCTTTTTAATTACCTGGCCAAGCAATGCTGCTGCATTATTATTATTTTACACATCTCTATTCGAAAATTACGAGAAACACTTTGTTAATTAAAAGTGGTACCTCTAGTGTGTACTGTTTTGCTCTCGCTTGATTTCCTTCCAAAAAACAAGAACAACAAAAACAACAATGAGACGACAACAGCAAAATCAAGTTTGTGACCAAGGGCAGTCTTTACCCAACCCTCCATAGAGAGAAGTTTAATATTGAGTGTCGAAATACCAAAAGAGAGAAATCACGACAGTCTGTTAGAAGAAAAAATAAAGCAGATGATTAGCCAAAGGGAAATCAAAGTAAAAACGGGCAGATTGCCAAAAGCGCGGGAAAACGCGGGTGTTCAAATCACGATTGGTTTTAAGTTTGCGTCCAGACAAATCTTAGAGCAAAGTAAAGCAAAACTAAAGTCCAGGATTGCGATTGACTGAAATGAAAATGACTTTCAACAAGCTGTAAAAATTAATGTGACATGTATTCGTCTGCTGTTCCTCAGATTACAGAGCTCAGCCTTGAGTTCATTTGTTATGATCCAAACTATAACTATGGAAGTGACGACGAAGATGAAAGCATGGAAACAGACTTGGATGACGACGAGGAGGAGTAAGTATTAACCCTTTACACCCTAACATCAGTATGCATATTCTCCATACTGTTCTCTATACATGTCCTTTGGTATTGACAAGGAGAATTTGTTTGACAATCAAAGCTTCTTGGGTAGGCGATCATTTCCTTTATTCTCATGATCTTAGTGAATGATTCAGCAGTATAACTGTAAGAAGAAATTACATGCTGGTCACTCTAAGGGGTCAAAAATTTTAAACAACAAATTACAGTCTATAGCTGATATTTAGAATCCTGGCCGACTCAAACCAAAATTTATTTCTTCCTAGATTTTCGTTACTTGTAACTCCCCTCTGCTCACTCTGTATGCAATTGTACACTTGATAAACAGTATCCTGTATGTATCTTTTTAGACGTTTTGATATGTAGTATCGCTGAGCATCTTTACGAGTTATGCCGTACTTTGACAACGAGTAAAAATACTCAGCGATACAACACACCAAAACGTCTAATAAGTTATTTTATTCCCAACTGCTTTAATTTTTTTTTTCTGCCAAAAATGTCAGCTAACTTCTCACAAGGAAGGGAAAAGCAAAGCGGAGAGAGAAGCGTAGCGCGCGCAGCCGACCGGTTAAACAGGGTTTTTTTTTTACAGTACAAAATAACCAACTGTATAATATCGCAGATGATGTAAGGAGAAATTAGATGACAGTCACCCTTTACACCCTAACATCAGTAAAGCTATTCTCCTTACTGTTCCCCATATATTCCTTAAGGTGCTGACAAGGAGAATTTGTTGAACAATCAACAACTTCTTTAGTTGCTGATAATTTTGTTTATTCTCGTGACCTTACTGCATGATTCTGGGGTGATTTTGTAAGGAGAAATTAGGTGCTAGTCACTCTGAGGGGTTAAAGGGTTAAAGGGTGTACAGTAGCTTAGCTGCGTCAAGACTTCTGTGGGTCCTGAGGAGGTTTGAACAAGACAAAGACAAAGGAATTTTAACTGAATACAATGATATACAATGTTCTTCAACTTGTGGGTTGTTACCACTCTTTATAGGGACGAAGATGACGACTATAGCGATGATGATGACATGAGTTGGAAGGTAAATGTAATATGGCCACATGAGCGTGTACTTTGTATTCGATATTAGTGGAGACTGTGGCAGAGCTTGGTAACTCTGATACTTGAGATATTGTAGCTGTGAATGACCAATGAATGACTGGTATGTACTTCACACCATGCTATTGACAACATGTGTTGGAAAAATTTTCAATAGGCCATTTTACAGTTGTGTACTTAGTTGCCAAGCATTTGATTTGTAGTAAGGCTGAAGGCGACCTTGTTATGATAGAAATCAGTATCTTGTTAGCATGATAACAAAGTAATTTACATTTGAAAAGTAACAAGGTTTGTATCATAACAAGGTCAACCTTAGCCTCACTCCTGTTAAAAGCCTTGGCAACCAAGCACGTAACCGTAAAATGGACTATTGAGTGTCGAATCCAGGATTCCTTTGGTTGTGCTTTTCTTCGCTCTGTGATTGGTCCAGAAAACTCTTGCAACTCTCAACCAATCAATGCAAATCTAAAACCAATCACGACTTGGTCGCCCGCGTTTTCCCGCGCTTTAGGTAGTTTGTTTGTCTTTACTTTGAGTTCTCATTGGCTCTTAGAGTTATCTTCATTTCTTCTGATTGGTCGTTGTGATTACTTTCGTTTTGATTTTACAACACTCGATCCAAGCCCTCTAATATAGTCATACATTTTTTTAAAAATTTTAATATATATATAATTACTGATGTGCCTGGTATATAACCCTTCTTACTGTATAGAGAGCAATTGATATCAGCGAAATCATGGATTGATTTTTAATCTCAACTGCAGGTTCGAAGATCTGCAGCCAAGTGTTTGTCAGCAGTGTTAGGATCAAGACCAGAACTGTTGTCTGAGTTCTACAAATCAGTTTCACCAGCGCTTATAGCCAGATTCAAAGGTACAGCAGATCAATGAAGTATTAGAAAAAATATTAAGATTGGTCTCTTAATCAAACAGTGTGGATTTTTATCTTGTAGAACGGGAAGAGAATGTTAAAGCTGACATATTTGCAGCATACATCACTCTTCTGAGACAGACCAGGCCTGTGGCTAGTCAGACGCTGGATGCTGAAGCTATGGAAGACGATTCAGGGTGAGAGGAAACTACAAACAAACAAACAACAGCAAACAACATGTGACGTCTATTACCGAGTCTCATTACATTATTAGGAAAAATATAATTGGTAGTAATAATCTGAATTGATTTTGTTTGTTTGTTTGTTTGTTTGTTTGTTTTTTTTATTGTAGAAAGACGTTCGACATTTGTTATTATTCCGCATGACACTTTTTGACGTTGTTGATCCTAACAGCGAAGAAACGCTCTTCCTAAAGCACTTAAGTTAAGGGCCTGGTCGCAGGCTAGTGACCGTCGTGGTCTGGTGTTAATCAAAATGACATGTAAAACAATCATTGATACTACACTGTAGCTGTCAGTCATCGCTATTATCACTTATCTTGAGTTCTTCCACAAAATATAGAAAATACACTACATGTACAGTGCACTTAACCCTTTAACTCCCACGATCTCATTAGTAATTCTCCTAACTGTGTTCTTGTAATGCTACTTTGGAGAATTTGGTATTGGATCAACTTATAATCCCCTAACATATACTTTTCTTTTCTTATCACTTGTCTGCTGGATATTGTATTGATATTGTAAGGAGAAATTCTGTTTTAGTCACTCATGGGAGTTAAGGGTTAACAGCACATTACCGTATGTTTATTTTTTTGCTCTTTGTAGCCCTGTGAATCTCCTGACCACTCAGATACCATCCATTGTCAGAGCTTTGCACAAACAGCTGAAGGAAAAGAGTGTGAAAACCAGACAGGTACACATTTTCACGGTGTAGTTGGCTCCATGACTCTTAAGCATCGAGGAAAAAAACTGACATGTTGCTTCTTTGATTCAGAGAAGCGAATTTTCCACGGAAAGTTTTCTCAAATATGTGAATTTTCATGAACAATTTGAGATAAACCATATGAAGTATTTCCGCTCAAACGAGAGCATTGTGCCCGCCATGCTTCATGCTTTCAGCTGTTCATATCCACTTGAGTAGGTTAGAGAGCACTCAAGAAGCGAGGGTTGTTCTTGGTTACGCCTCGAGAAATTCCTACACCTCGCTCTTGCTCTGCAAACTTCACCTAGTTATACTCACAGCTAAAAGCGTGGATCAATTTTTGATTGAAGATGTACTTTCACTGGACTTATTTAACTTTCTTCCATTTCAGGGATGCTTCCATTTGTTGTTGGAACTTGTTGCTGTTTTGCCTGGGGCTCTGTCTGATCACATCAGTGCCATTGTTCCTGGAATACAGTTTTCACTTGGGTAAGGCGTTGTTTGCTTACACAAGAGGGTTTTGTGTACAGCATTTCCGACAAGGGTGTGAAGCAGAGATGTAGAATTGTACGTGAAAATGCTCAAAGGCTATCTGAGTAGTGCTTGTTTTCTGATGTTTGAATAAAATGCAGGTTATTTTGTATTTTATTTGGAAAAAAAAAAGTGTCGTTGTCTCGTATCGCGGAAAATAATGATTGCCCTGTCCGGGCATGCTTTTGAAGGAATATCTTTCACCGAGCAGCTTTGTATAACGTTTGTTGACCGTGTACAGTGACACAAAAACGAATGGTTTATACCGATACTTCGTCGTGGAAATTTTGAGTTCTTGAGTACCTGATTACTAAAAATATAACAAGCACTTCTTTCTTGAGGCCACGAAGGCAATTAAAGCAGGATGTGTTTGTTGAATGGGCTATTCTCGCTAATTAATTGCCTTACTTTACCAGTGAGAGTTCAAAGTTGTAAATGGTTGCTTCTTAGACGATGATGTTTTTTTAATTCATAAATAATCGCCTTTTTTCTTACATTCTTCCTGTTCTTTTCAGAGATAAGAGCTCAACATCAAATATGAAAATCGACACCCTCGCCTTCCTTGGCTGCATTCTAGCCCAACATCCACCCAAAGTTTTCCATCCACATATTCAAGTACTAGTTCCGGTAAGTAGTCATTATGTTTTATTTTTGTTTTTGTGTTGTTGTTGTTGTTGTTGTTGTTGTTTACTACAATTTGAAATATTGGGTGAGCAAGGCAGGGGTTTTGTTGATGGCCGGTTATCAGCAGTCTTCCGCCACCTGTAAGACCCCTTTCTGTCATTTGTTCAGCCTCTCGGCACATGCTTCCTATTACACCATCGACAGCCGCTTATAAAAAGAAAAAAAACCTTATTAAAACCCTAATAAGGTGGTTGTGTTGTCTTCAATTCCTTCATTATAGAATGCAAGGGAACATGATTCGCATAATTATGTAAAAGTGAACTTTCACTCGCAAAACGACAGAGTTGCACTCAAAATTAGTTTTGCATCTGATTACTTAAGAAGGTGGCGTTAGATTTGAAGAACCAACTCAGAAGTTGAGTCAGGCAAAAGCAGGAAAACCATGAATTACTTTCGACGGTCCTTTGGAACTTGCTCTTTTATTTTACAACTTGAAGCAATTAGATCAGGTAGTCGACCTTAATATCTCTTGTTGAAACTTTTTTGTGTGTGTGTGTATGCTCATAGCCTGTTGTGACAGCAGTTGGCGATCCATTCTACAAGATCACTTCCGAAGCTTTGATGGTCACTCAACAGCTGGTCAAGGTCATCAGACCTCACGGTATGTCACAGATGTCACAGTATTTTGAGTCATTCTTTGTGCTACATGTATGTGAGATATACGTTGACCTAACTTGACCTTAAAGTTAGCGCGTTGGACTCTGGGCTGAGAAGTCCGAGCTCAAGACTTGCCAAGACACTTTGCTCTTACGGCCCCCTCTTCCATCCAGGAGAATAAATGGGTACCAGTGAATTGTCAGGAAAGCCTGATGAAATGCTAGGAGGTAATCTGCGCAATGAAGTAGCATCCCATCCAGGGAGATCAGTAATACTATAAAAACCGGGATAAGCTCCTGCTTGATGTGTCTCTCGGCTTTAGTACCGTTACCTTTACTTTATAAAGACATACACTCTATTTAAAATCTCCATCAAGCTAGCGCTTCCGGCGTTTTTTGTTTTGTTTTGTTTTGTTATTTGCGTGCCTAAAAGACGCGAGATGGGACGATGAGGGAAGGGTCAAAATAATTTATTGGAGTTAAGGTACTGTAGTCCGAGAGGAAAGTGTCATTAACTTGAGATCTTAGAAGAGAAAATACCCATCGACCTCCTGCACACAGTTTCTCGAATCGAAGCTCTGGTGCTCCACATTGCTGTCTTTATTTTCGTTAACCTTTTCCACCTTAACATCAGTATGCATATTCCACATAGTGTTCCGTATATATTTCCTATGGTGTTGAAAAGGACAATTTGTTTCACGATTAGGAGTTTCTTTAGGTGGTGATCATTTCTTGTAATTTTGTGACCTTCACGTGTGATTCAGGGGTGATACTGTAGAGTAGAAGTTAGACGCCAGTCAGCCTGAGGGATCAAAGGTTTAAAGGTGCAGAAAAGTCAGCTGCGCAGAATAATTCCCAATCAGCTGGCGTGACAGGAATCACCATACCGTTTTTTAACATGTAACAATGTCCTCGGACACAACATTAATTGCTGTTTCTCGTCAAATCGAACAGGAGTGCCAGCAAGTGAATTTGAATTTAGGCCGTATGTGAAGGATATTTACCAATGTACTCTTGTCAGACTCAAAGCTGCTGATATTGACCAGGAGGTCAAAGAAAGAGCCATATCATGCATGTAAGTTATGATTAAGGTGTGTTCATTTCTGTGGAAAGGTGCTCTGTGCAACATTGATGTTGAATGGTTTTTCAAAAGCCCTACTCCCGATAATCGCTTGTCTTTGAACCAGGCAAAGAAACATCGGTGAAAAAGAAAAAAAGCAGTTGATTGGTTTGAATTTGACTCAATAATTTTCGCTATTTCATCGCGGGCTTCATCAGTGTTTTAATTGGCACTCAAGCGTCTCAAGAGCCTTCTTGCCTGCTGTGGATCGCCCACTTTGATCTCGCAGACAAAGAAAGTTACTGGAAGCTGGTTTGCTTCCAGTAACTCTCTTTGTCTACAAAAATACGGACAGAAACAATCCGCGCCGTCTTTGATTTCTTTTCCGTTTTTTAGACATTATTTTTTCAGCGACGAACTTCGAAGCTTTCGGTCATCAAGAATACTTGTAGAAATGGTTTCTTTGTGTCGTTTTCTCCGATCACACACGCCTTGTGCGATTATTACGATGCTCAGATAAGACTGTATGACGATTAGTTTCGAAAAGAATAGGGCGTCGAAAGATTAGAAAGTGAAGTAACAGTGGAATAATAAATCCCCTATTCGATTGTTTAACATATAGTGCGAGGGGACATTTTGCTCATTGTTCGTATGCTTCATCGCCCATAAGGGGCTCAGAGAAATACTACGCAACTCGCAAAATATCCGCGCGTATGGCATGTTAAACCGTCGAACAAAGTATGGTCTCACAAGAAATCTCTTCTTTTGGCCACAGTTTTTTTTCAACCTCAATATTAGCCCGGCTTAACAGGTTAAAAGCTCGTGTTTAGCATCAGTTCTCGGTGCACAAAAAAACAAATCAAACATGGGTGCATTATCTCTTCCAGTTGGCTTTAAATGTTCCAATGATAAAGATGTTTGTGTTTTTCAGGGGTCAGATTCTGTGCAGCCTCGGCGATGAACTTAGTCAGCAACTTCCACAGTGTCTCCCAATATTCCTTGATAGACTGAGAAATGAAATCACAAGGCTTACTACTGTCAAAGCTTATTCACTGATTGCAGGGTATGTCGACCAACTCCTTTACTCGCCATTTGCAATCAGCTGCGATGAAAACACGTGGGACGCTCAATCAAATAGAGTTGTATTGTAAAATCAATTTAGCTCACAGATCATTTTAGTTTCTAAGTTTCAATATGACGTGGGTTGGGACTGTACCTCCATTTTGTAAAGTACCATTTCAATCTCTGCATTAATCTCCTCTTCATAAGCTTTCCGAAGCCAATGAATTTCCGGACCCCAAGCTTAGACCTCTTTATTTGTCTTTCAGATCACCACTTAGAATTGACCTCTATACAATACTGGTAGGTATAAAAGGGAATGAAATCCTCAGGGTCTTGTGTAGCTCCAATAAGCCGAATATTTCATTCACTGATCATCTTTTTTTTGTTGTTTTTTTTTTTAATCATTGTGTTAGGGTGATTCTATGCCAATTCTTGCCTCCTTCTTGCGCAAGAACCAAAGAGCACTTAAGCTATCGACCTTGACAACCCTCAATGTTTTGGTTACTAATTATGGTAAGACTTTTTTTTCTTTTGTTTATAATGTCATCATGATCCCTTTTAACGAGGAGCGTACTATAGTTTGCTAACGGCATCCTTGGAACAGGCTCTGTGATTGTTCTAACGGTCTAACTCCTAAGAGTACGAAGCATCTAATTTCTCCCAAAAATATCACCTCCCTGAATCAAACATTACCCTTTCACTCCCATGATCTCTTCAGCAATTCTCCTTACTCTCTGCCATACATTGCTTATAATTTTAGTTTGGAGAATTTGGTATTTAATCAAATGAAAAATCCACCAATTGATATTTTTCTTTATTCTCATCACTTGTCTACTTGAGATTGTATTTATATTGTAAGGAGAAATTCTGTCTTGGTCACTGTTGGGAGTGAAAGGGTGAAGGTCATGAGAGAAGAGGAAATGATTGTACACTCGAAGAGCTCTTTCATCGTGAGAAACATTCCCCTTGCAAGGCGTGAAATTGCGCCCAATACAGGCGCCAATGCGACTAAATTTTTCACCTTGGCGACCAAATCCTGAAAATTAGTCGCCAAATTGGCGACTAGAATGTTTCATCATAACCTTAATAAGAGATCTAGTGAATTAAAAAGATTTGCAAAGACAAATCCGCGGCAAACTTCCTCGTTAAGTTTGTTTCCAAAATGCAGCACATGCATCTCGATCGATAACTAGACGCCATCTTTGATTTAGGTGAGCTTAAACGTTGCATATCATCCATCCTAGCGTCCATTTTGTAGCACGTTAAAGATCTTTTCCCCAACTTAATTTCTAGAACGATGACAGCGTAAAAAAGAGGTTTTGTTTGTCTTTGAAAATGGCGACCAACTTTTCTTGAATTGGCTACCACTTTGAAGAATTTAGGAGCCAAGTGGCTGTCAGAAAAAAAAATTAATTTCACGCCCTGCCTTGTAAGTACCATAGGAAATGTGTAGAGAATATTATGGAGATTTTGTATACTGATGTTAGGGAATAAAGCGTTAACCAATGTGCTTCCGTGTTGTGTTTAGGTCATTTATTGTCTCAAGAGAACATATCAGGAGTATTGACAGAGGTTCCGCCCTTAATCAGCGAAAGCGATCTTCATATCTCACAGGTATGGGTTTCTGGCGCATTTAACGCGTCGCGTTTCGAGGGCTGTGCTGTAAGGTTAATGTGAGGGAAACAGATGAAAACGACCGATAACTTGAACTGCGGTTCAAGTTATTGTACCCCTGCTTCCTCTACACCAGTTAAGCGCACTACTAACAACTGAGTTACAAAAGCTTACTGTTGAGAACGAGGCAATCGTCATCAACAGTGTTTTGTACTTTATTTTTCACTCCAGTATTTTAATATATGTAAAGTCACTATTGAACTCAATAGAAGTTTGATTAAGTTGTAGCTTTGTCATCAACAGTGAAACTATGTAGCTATACAAAAAGGGGCTATGTAGCTTTACAAAAGTTTCATTAATCCTGGGCTAGCATAAGCGTGTTTTGAACAGTCTGGCACCACCACGCCTTTCTTTTTCCTATACTTCTTTTATTCCAAATGCACTTTATAACTTTGTGTGGTTTATATAATTGATTAATTGATTGATTGATTGATTGATTGATTGATCGATCGATCGGTTGATTGATTGATTGATTGATTGATTGATTGAATGATTGATATTATTTTCAGCTCTCACTTACATTGTTAACTTCTGTTGCCAAGATCCACAAGGACAGCATGGCGCAGGTAAAGCCCCGTGATTGCTACACGAACGAGCGTTTATTCTTTTTTGCTAGGCTTCCAATCCTTCACACCTTTCGGAGGGAGACAAATGGCCAGCGTGTTCCATGGTCTCTCTCCCTATGTTCCTCTTGCTCCAGGAGGGGTGGGAAGAAGAAAAATTTGGAGAACGACTTTGACAACTGTAGTTCCCATTAGTGCTTAACCCTGACCCCTAAGGTTCTTTATTTTACACCTATTACTAGGCCACAGTCAGCAACAAAATCAGTGGAAACACCAGTAGCAATAATTCTAGGCACTTCATGCCACTTAACTCCGAGAATCAAGGACTAGATGATGCTCGTGATTATTTTACTTCAATCCATAGTCCATTCCTTTTCCCTGATACTCTAACAATGAACTATCACGCGTTTCACAGGCCTGCACTTCCACTCTGCCAGCCATCATGGTTTTGATAAGGTCGCCACTTCTTCAAGGTTAGAGAGGTGTTACCAAGCTATCTCATTTACAATTCATAAGATGTTACGTAGTCTCCTAAAATTTTATTGCTCTGCCTACTAACCCCTGGGTATCGGGGCAGGGTGATTTGCCTCGCATTCAGCCCTAAAGAGAATATATTTTTTCGTCATTTAGAGTAACGCACCTGGTTAGGAGTGTTTCCGTTTGTTTTTCCGACGAATTAAATCCAGGATTTCCTGTTTTTTTCTCAACATCGCTCTGTGATTGGTTAAGGTCTTATGCATCATCCTCTTATCCAATCAGATGCAAAACCAACACCAATAGCAACTTGGTTACAACCCAGCGGTCTAACGTCTACGAATGTGCCAACGTTATAGAAGCTAGGTTCCAGGCTCCTAGGGCTGTCGACATAAAATTGTCTTGCACGAGTTATAAACAATTACACATATTACAGGGTAGTTTCTTATGTTTCCTTTCGAACCGCGGCTGGCCAAAGTTGGTCTCTTTGTGCATGCTTTACCTTAGACCACTGGTTATTGATATTTCCTCATGTTTGATTCCACCTACGTGTAATTCTTTGCGTTCTTACTTGCCTCTTGTGATAGTTTGCATTTTTCTGGTCAGCGGTTGTGCTTTTTTAAGTTGGTTTCAGTTTTAGACACTCAAACGTATAGAGCTCTTCGGAAGTTAACTATTTTTAAAAAAGATTTTATCATTGGGTAATAATTATCATTTCTTAATCGCTCAGGTGGAGCACTGAATGCTACTCTCACTCTTCTTACTGAACTGGTTACTTCTGGAATAAAAGGAATGGGATTTAAAGATCTCTTCCAGGTATGACTGACCGGCATTTAATTTCTCCTTACCATATCACCCTTAAATCAAACAGTAAGGTCATGAGAATAAAGGAGCTGATCACCTACTAAAGAAGCTATTGATTGTTAGACAAATTCTCCATGTCGACATCTTAGGAATTCTTTTGAGAACAGTATGGAGAATATGCATATTGATGTTAGGGTGTAAAGGGTTAACTTAGGGCTAAATGAGAGGCCACTTTCATTTAGGAAACCATAAGGTGACTGGGGCGAACGGTACTGATACTGAGTGTCAACATCGCACTGCATGAATATCACGTAACCCTGCACACCCTAACATTGGTATTAATGTTCTCTATACAAGAAAAATTTTTGATAATTGGGAGCTTCCTAAATTTGTGATTATTTTCTTTATTCTCCAGACCTTAATAAGCGACTCGGGGGGGGGGGGTGGTATTGTAAGGCGAAACGAGTCTCTCTGAGGGGTTAAACTTGTACAAGTAGGCCTTAGGCACTAGAGTCGATGAGAAACATATAATTTGGCTTCCCTTGACGTTCAATATTCGGAAGAATAGGAGAAGAGAAGGAACAATACAGAGTAAGTGTGAATGAAACAGCGTATTTCTTGTCTCTCCCAGAACCTACTTGTGCATTTGTGAGTAATATTTGAAAATAAGGCAAGCTACGTCATAACACTTTTGATTCTTTCATTCTTAGATGTTAGTATCTCCTATTTACTCCTCAAGCCAAGGAAGTCAACAAACAATCATCCACAAACAGGTATGGTTATCCAGACTTTGTAAGAAAGCCTCTAGGAACAACGTGGTGCGAAAACCTTTCCTGAAAGAGCGCAAGACCATAATAACGGAAGGCTATAAAATTGCTGACCTAAATCAGTTGAATTTTGTTTTATTAGGTTTATTTTCATTACTTCCCAGCTCCCTCTCTCAGCGACTTTCCCCCACCCTTCCCCCTCTAAAAGGATTTTCTTCTCACAGTCTGAGTCTCTTCGACGCTCTGGATACCATGGCAACAAGGAAAAATAGAAATTGTTTTAACTATTATGACTGAGAATGTGGCTGGGTTAACAAGTTGTTTCTCTCAAAACTGAAAAAAAAAATTGAACAAGGACCATGATTGAGACCTGATTAGCCAATTAAATTTGGTTTATAATTAACGATCCATGGAAAACCATTTTCAGTGTAGAAAGTGCCACTTTTTTGTTCTGTCTTGTTTTACAATTCCCTTAAACATGCCGAATTTTATTTTGTTTTAATTTTTAATTTTAAATTTTCCCCCCTTTTTCCATTTTTCTTCTTTTCCCGCAGGCTTTCCACTCCATTGCTAAGTGTGTTGCTGCACTGGCCATGTCGTGTCTATCCGAGGGAGAATCTGTTGTAAATCAGTTTGTCAGAGATATTCAGGTAAAAATGAGTTTTAATGTAAAGTGTTAAATTTATGTTTTTGTCATAATTCTACCTTTGATCAATAAATATTATTATGTGCTTATTTTCTTTTTATCCACAGAGTGAAAAGGTCGCTGATCCGTTACGTTTGTTTTCTCTGCTGTCATTGGGTGAAATAGGAAGACACATGTACGTTGGTAGAAAATTCTTCTTTGTGTAGCCTGCATTACAAGCGTTTTTGGGCCTCCTCAAAGGCCCTTGTGCTTGAATTTCCCCTTACGGCCCCTCTCCCGGCACAGCCTCCTATTACATCATCGGTGACCACTTGCGAAAAAGGGGAAAGTTACAGAAACCCCTGGAGTGTTGAAAATTCCATCGAGTGTTTGAAGCACTTACTCGAAAGCAGAGGGCGCTCAGATTACCTGGGAGAAAAACTCAGTGGTGGGGGCTGGGGAAATGTCATTAAAGGCTGTCGCCAAGAGCGTATCTAGGGGGGGGGGGTGTCATGGGACCTCCCCCCTCCCCCTCTTCCTCTCTACCACTTTGTATAGCCTTAGAAAAATTTATCGGAGCAAATTTAGGACTATCATTTTTGTCCTTTCAGTGACTTAAGCGGTCATCAAGAACTAGCTGTGGCCATCTTAGATTGCTTCTCGTCACCATCAGAGGAAGTAAAGTCAGCGGCTTCTTTCGCATTAGGTTTGATCTACTGCGTGTATGTTAACTTCATTTAGATCTAAGACGAATATCAAAGTCTTTCATGAATGAGCTAATTAAATGAATGTGGCTGTCGATGGTGGACAAATTTTCAACATAGCGTAGAGAGTAAACGTGTGTTGCTTTGGTTTTGGGCTACTTGCTCAGTATTTGGTCCAGAAAACCCACGCCACTCTCTTGGCCAATTGGATGTAACACTTGTTACAATCTCTCAGTTAGCGCCGCTATCGCTATATTTCATTGATCTGGTGGGCTGTTTTTCACAGTGCGGCTTGCAAAATTCAAAAGTTTGTTTGAATTAAAATCTCCCCCTTCTATTTGAACCAAGAAATATAATGAATATCTTATTAACCTCGTTTTTCTTGGTCCGTATTGGAAGTTACAGAACCTCGTTTTTATTTTTCGCTCGAATTTATAGCCTGCGCTTCGCGTTTGGGGCTAAATCCGAGCGAAAAAAGCTCGGTCCATAACGTACAGTACGGAACTCAAACTCGGTTGGTAAGAGATATTTTTACATAAGGATTTACGCTACGTTATTTTGTGGCCCTTAGATATGTACAAAGCCCCATTTTGTGTCTTTGTGCCCTTTCATCGTTAACCCTGTAACTCCTATGAGTGACCAAGACAGAATTTCTCCTCACAATATCAATCAAATATCAACCAGATAAGTGATGAGAATAAAGAAAAATATCAATTTGGGGATAATTAGTTGATTCAATACTAAATTCTCTGAACTAACATCATGAAAATTGTATGGTTGACAGTAAGAAGAATTACAAATTTGATCTGGGAATTAAAGGGTTAAAACTATCGTGGCCCGTCACCTTTCTTTTTAACTTTTCTGTTGTTGTGTCTCTTCTGTGTAGGTAAAATTGCTGCGGGAAATTTGAACTTGTATTTACCATTCCTGCTCAAGGAGATTCAAGCAAATCCCAAGAGGCAGTATCTATTGCTTCATTCTCTTAAAGAGGTGCGAAAATTTACCAAAAAAAGTATGTACTAGAATTTACACGTGAAGAAGGCTCTTTCTTGCCAGAAGGCAGCTGACACGGGACAAAGGTGCAAGAAAAATAAAGGAAGATAAAAACAAAGACGAGAGAAAACGCGGTGGGCTAGGTACTAATGTAGTGTGACACCTCAGCCCTTACTCTCACAGTGCACATCTGAGTCTGCTGAGTAGTATAGATGGGTACCGGCATAATGTTAGAGAAACTCTATTAGATGCTTGGGAGTAACGCTGCCATGAACTGGCTTCCCATCCAGAGGATAGATGCAATGCTCCTAGTCGCTTCATGCGACGAAAACCGTAAAAGCTCTTGCATGATTTGCCTGCGGGCTCGTTAGCTGACTTTTCCGGCTCTTGTAAACTTCGCTATTCCTTTACATGTCCAATACTTGTTTTTGATGGTGATTTTCCACTAGGTGATCTCATGTGAAGCAGGAAGTCCAACAGGAGTTGAAGCTTTAAGACCATTTATTAGCTCAATATGGTAAGAATGGTGATCAAATGGGATATATGTATAAACATGTCCTTGTTCAACTTCTCTGTAAGCGTTTTATACCTCTTTTGCTGCAAATTTTGCAAATAAGTTTATTGTCATGAAGGTGTGCCTCCCGTGCTGTAGAAGTCTCTTGTTCAACTTCTCAGTAAGCCTCTTGACGCTCTTTTGTGCAAATTTTGCATAAAGTGTGTTGTCATGAAGGTGTGCCTTCCGTGCTGTAGAAGTCATAGTTTCAGTAATTATTCAGTTGATTTTCTTCCCGCAGGACTTTGTTATTCAGTCATTGTGAAAGTACGGAAGAAGGAACGAGGAACGTCGTTGCCGAGTGTTTAGGGAAACTGACTCTTGTAGATCCATTGCACCTTCTGCCACAACTTAAGGTATGTGACTGTACTAAATATACATCCCAATGTAAACAAGTGCAATTGGGTGTCTACGAATCCAGAATCATCGATGAAAGCAAACAAATTGACTACGTTGAGTCAGAAGCCTCAATCAATTTCCCTCATACAGGATTTATATAAATTGGACTCAATACCTTTTAACGATACTTGTCATGGGAAGCTGAAATTTTCACTCCCATGATCAAAGTGTCAACTCTCTGCACTATCTGCCGAGCATTTCGTTTAATGTTAGATCTGAGAATTAAGTGTTAAATCGAACAGAATCCCGTCTTTTTTTTTCATTCTTCTTTCTCATTGGCGTTCTGTGCGAAAATATTTTGTTAATTATTGAAGAAAATCATTGTGTTCAATCCATAGGAATGAAAGGATTAATGTAGTTTTAGCTTTAAGAAATTAAAAAAAATTGAAATAAACGAATAAACAGGCATTTAACCAGTGTAAGGTGATTTGTTATTAATTGATCTATTGATTTGTTACAACTCTGGAAAATTGGTAAAATGTTATAAGTAGAATTTCTTTTGTTTCAAAGTGTTTATTTAATGATCCTTGTTAACCACTGAAGTTGCCTGTATTTTTTAACAAAGCACCTGTTGTAAGCGACTGTGCTTATTTCTCCTTTGTCAAAATTGTTTTCTACTTTATAACACAGGACTACCTGAACTCAGACTCAGCCTTTGCTCGGAGCACTGTGGTGACAGCTGTAAAATTTACCATCTCGGACCATGTAAGGAAATTATTGATAGCGTTATATTATCTCGCCTGCGTACGAAACGCGCTGAAGGCGTAACCTCTTGCTTTGTTGAAGCAGGTTGGCGTGTGATGAATGAGCCAGACTCTTCCCTTGTGCACCGCCAATTTATCCACAAATGTCCGGGAATATCTTGAAAGAACATACTCAAAAAAGATATCCCTTTATATTTGTATGAAGGATAACCTTGAAACAAGGTTGGTTTGGGAAAGTTCATTTTACTTACGGTGTCCTGAAGAAAAAAAAATGGTTTATTTACATGTACTGTGTATACGATTCAGGCACGAAAGGTCGCTCATGGTTTCTTTCACTGTTTATTCAGCCTCAGCCGATCGACAGCCAGCTAAGAGGATGCATTGGAGATTTTCTCAGAACAGTACAGGACCCTGATTTGGTATGCTCTACCTGTTCATTTTGTTTTTCCACCGGGCCTAAACCTTTTTGTTTTACCCTGCAGTGTGGAGAATCTTCTTTGAATCTTCTCTGTTTTGTTTGTTTTACTCAGAATGTCCGCCGTGTCGCTTTAGTTACATTCAACTCAGCGGCTCACAATAAACCGAGTCTCATCAGAGATTTGTTGGAACAAATTCTTCCTCGACTGTACAACGAGACGAAAGTCAGGGTAGGCTAAACTTTGATATTTTGCTTTCGGTAAAGAGTATTTCTAACTTGAGTAACAGTTTTAAACTTAAAATAATTTGCTGGACGTTATTTAGCAGGGTAGATTGCCTTTAACTTTGAAGGCTGCGAGTAGGTCCTCTTTTTTATTTTCCCAACAAGAAGCGTGTTCCTCTACCCGCGGGAAGATTTGAGAGGAGTTGGGGCGAGATCTACCGGATGTCTGGCGTACTAGACTCGTTCCAGACCTCTCACCTCAAGGTGTCATATTTTCCCGCGGGCACAGAAACGCTTTTGACGAAGCCTTTTCACACATAGTAAATGTGATGACTGTCTTCTTCCTTTAGAAAGAACTCATTCGCGAAGTCGAGATGGGACCGTTTAAGCACACTGTTGATGATGGCTTGGACATCAGAAAGGTACCTAATGTTTCTTTGTTCGTGTTTATTTGGTAAAGTAAACGGGAAGTGATTGTTCAATGCGCTATAGTGCCGCAGGCATCCAAGTGAAACACCTGTCGCTTACAGTTGCAAAGGAATATAGTTAAATTTTACCATCTAGATAGGATGGCAAATAGATAAAACCTTTTTTATGTTTGTCCCTTCTTTGTTACTTTATTTGTTTATTTTCTGTGTTTGCCTTTGAAAAGTGCTTTGTTGCTGCGGGACATATTTTGCCTCTCAGTTAAGTTTAATTTGAGTTTTACTTTCCTATTCTCCATTCACACCAAAGATAAAACTCATTTTAAGCTGTTTTGTCAAATAAATTATTGTCTTTATTGAATTTACGTAAGGTGATGTTTGTTTACTTCAAATGATGAAAGTAAAAGTTAGTCATTACTTGAACCATTTGGAAAATTTAGTAATTTCATTCACTTATCTTCCCTCTTACTTGTGCCAATGATGATATTCCGGGAAGGCGCACTTTTACACTGCAGATGCTCTGTATCCGCTTTGGCACTTCTCCGTATTTTAGTTGTGGAAAAGGAAAATAAATAAATGGAAAGAGTTTGTGTTCGAATGTTGTGGCTTTTATTTTGATATTCGCTTCGTTGTGATTTTAGGCAGCGTTCGAATGTATGTATACACTTCTCGACACATGTCTCGATCGCCTCGACATCTTCGAGTTCTTGAGCCATGTAGAAGACGGACTTAAAGATCACTATGATATCAAGGTTTGTACAGCGGTCACTTTTCCACTCTAAGTCGAACCCAAACGGAATGACTTGGGTAAGCTTAGAAGGGAATGAGGAAACCTTCGATCACCTTTAGCCCGTGACCCTTTGACCCCTAAGAGTGATTATCACCTACCTATTTCTTCCTATAACATCAGCCCTGAATGAAGCCTTTAAGGTCACGAGAATAAAGGAAATGATCACCAACTGAAGAAGCTATTGATTGTCAAAGAAATTCTCCTTGTCAGTACTTTAGGAAATGTATAGAGAACGGTATGGAGAAAATGCGTAATGATTTTGGATCGGAAAAGCTAAGTGCAACGTGGTCAGTATAGGACATCTTAGGATCTTTTTTTCCTTTTGTCGTTGTTGCTAAATTCTATCAGGGGTGGAATGTTAAATTTTCTTGTTGTGGAATTGTGGAGTAATGTAGAGTACTTGCCACGTAGGTCAAAGGCTAATAATCAGTGTTATTGATTCAGATGCTGACGTTCCTGATGTTAGTGAGACTGTCTTCTTTGTGTCCTAATGCTATATTACAGCGTGAGTATTCACTAGAAAATTACCTTACGTTTGTTTTCTCTTCTTTCTTTTCTTTAACTCTTTAAACCCTAAGAGTGATTAGCATCTAATTTCTCCCTACAATATCATCACTGAATCACAAATGAAGGTCATGAGAATAAAGTTAATGGTCACTAGGGAAGGAACCTTTTGATTAGCTAACAAATTCTCCTTGTCAGCACCTTAGGAAATGTATGAAGAACGGTGTGGAGAATATGCATAATGATGTTAGGGTGTAAAGGGTTGATATGATAAACTGAATTACGCGGGCATTTTGACTGGTACTTATAATCTATTGAAGGGCAGCTGTACTGATGACCTCACCATTAAGAACATTTTCCTTTTTTTCATGTAAGACGTCTGCGCCCCTTGTGCCACTGTTTTTTTTTTTTTTCTTACCCCATTTTGACGTCGTCTAAGTGCACAGCAACACTATGTTCATTAAATTCATTGATTTTTTTTTCATAGTCCTCAAATATACGCGTATTATTGTGATTGGGTGCGATGTTGTCAGTTCGAGTGAAGGGGAGCGTTTCCTCGGGATACGTTGTTAATTTTTATTTTCTTTGACCCTAGGTGTGGATATCCTCGTGGAACCGTTACGTGCGACGTTGCAAACGAAGGTGAAGGCAAATTCCGTGAAGCAAGAATTCGAAAAACAAGACGAGCTGAAGAGATCGGCGCTGAGAGCTGTAGCTGCCCTTCTGTCGATTCCAGATAGTGGTAAGTATTTTTGAATACACACAACGACGTCAATTACAGCAAAAAGAGGAAAAAAAGTGAATTAAAGTTAATAGCACCGATTTCACATTGTTTTATGCACATGAAGGTTTCCGAAAGTGCAATGTAAGCAAAGCATTCAAAGTAATAGCATTCGACAAAGCTGGAAGGTCTTTCAATCAAACGCGCCCGAAGACCGAAATGACGTTGCAAAGAGAAGCAAAACCAATGCTATCCCGGATTAGTCTCGACATTCATTTGAAAATTACTCTATCTAATCAAGGTAAAACTGGCTAGCAAAATTTTGTGGTGGGCGGTACTTGTCAATGCTAGATTGTTCATGTGGGAGGGGTGTTTGTAGAGACGTGGATAGGATAGGCCATTCTTTCATTTCCTTAGAGCTGACATTCATTTTTTTCTTTCTAAGCCAAGAAATCAATTTTATTTTTCTTCTTCTTCTTCTTCTAGATAAAAGTCCCTTGCTCAGCGAATTCCTCGCGCAGATCAAATCAAGTCCTGAGCTGTCCGCCATGTTTGATTCCATTCAGAGAGATGCTGGTTCAGCGGAAAGCATGGACACTAGTTAAAGCGTGTTACCCTGCGTATCAAATAAAAAAAATAATGATACCCCCCAAAAAAACCACAATTACCAGAATACCTTCTGCAAGGAGGTATAAAACAGTAACAAGGAGGACAAGTTTTCAAAAAAAAATTGTAGCTGTCTTTACACCAAAGAAAACATTATTTTAAAACAAAACTGTTGTAATTTGCATAACTTGTTTAGAACTCAACGCATTTGCAATTAGAAAAACCTTTTTTCTCTTTACCTTTATTTAACAAGTTCAAATGATCAAGAAGTGAGAATAAAGGATTTGATTTTGTTGGTAAGAAACTGTTCCTTTTTGCCAGAAGAATTATCTTTTGTGACCAATATCTGGGGTCAGCGGTTGACGATAGACAAGGAGGTCTGGGTTTATGTTGTGGCTGAGTCATTGTATTGTATTGTGTCCTTAACTCCTTGATTCTCATGAGTGACCAAGAAAGAATCTCTCCTTTTAATATAAAGATACAATATCAAGAAGAAAAATGACGAGAATGAAAGGAAATATAATTTGGAGGATTATTAGTTGATAAAATACCAAATTTCCCAAATTCGTATGGTAAGAATTATGTTAAAGACAGTAGACAGAACCCTTGATGAAATCTTGCGGTGAAAAGTTAATCATTTCACCCTCACACCATTGACAAACTGCGAGAGAAACTTGAAGAACTACTGCGAGACTAGCCTTCGTATAGCTGTACCCTCCCTCCCCTTGGTTTCTCCTTGTCAGGGGGGAGGGTAGGGGAAGGGAACAACGAACGAGACTGGAATACGTAGAAACACTAAAAAAAAAAAAAAAAAAAAAAAAAAAAGAGCGTAATTTTGTTCACAATCCTGCTCTTCGATAGGAAAGTTACGATTTTTTTGCAATTATCAACACATCAGAGCACGAATGGTTACAAAACGGTTAACAAGAGCTCGTATCTTTATATTTTTGGTATCGCCATGGTTGCGAGGATTTCAGACGGGGATTCCCCTGAGGTAATCGCTCTTGGACATGTCAAACAACAAGATGGCGACAGGCGGGGAGAAAGATTTTTCGTATCCTTTCACTGATACTTTGTCCTCACCTTCGTCTTCTTCTTCCAGAATATCTTTTTCAGAATCTAACAGCACTGAACCTACAAGTAGTTCGGAAGGTAAGAACCAATTTTGATTTGAGAAGAAATAAAAATCGAGAATGAACGTAGAGGTCTTCATGAAATGCTTCGAGTTTGTTTTGATTTGTTCGGAAGGCAAGAGCTTTTTTTTGACTTGAGAAAAGTCAAAATCTAGCGTTGAGATTTTTTGTCTCCTTAGTTGATGCAAAGGTGGTCTTAGACGAAGGAATATACGGCTGGATCTTGCATTTAATCGAGGAAGGGAAAATCGCTCGAATTGTCGATCCTTGTAACTGGATTTACGAGCTCGATTGGCAAGATGCAGTTTGGAAGTACTGGCATGAGTTTCGCGAAGCAAGGAGAGGTGGAAAGAGCCCCTTTAAAAAAGACAACTTCAACATCAGAACGGCAAGCAATGGTTTAAGAGCTGCTCTGCTGAATTCTTACAAAGATAAAGGTGCTAAAGAATATCCAGAAAAGAAGGTTATGGATGAAGAGAACAAAACAAGCAAACGATGCTTCAAATTGCCTTCAAATGTGGTTGATAAACTTGCAGGAACAGCCTTTGCTAGTCATGCTGTTTCGAAAGTTGTAAGTACTACCTTTTTTTCGATTCACCCATTTATATTCTAAAGCTAAGTACAGTAAACGCATCCTGTGTTGGTGCTCTGCACAAAGAAAAAAAAAGAGAGATTTGTGACAATTAACCCTTTAGTCCCAAAGAGTGACATGCATATAATTTCTCCTCATGATATTACCCCTGAATCACACATTTGGGTCACGAAAATAAAGGAAATGATCACCAATTAAAGAATTAAACAGATTATTTGACAAATTCTCCTTATCAGCACCCTGGGAAATGTATCGAGGATAGTATAGAGAATATGCATACTGATGTTGGGGTGTAAGTTACTATTTGTTTTTTTTTCATTTTATCAGTTCGTTTGAAGATTTCCTAGTTTCATTGAAATGAAAGGAAGTTATGGACTTCAATTTTCATTTATTTTTTTCCAGGGATATTTTTTGTTTTGTTTTGCTTGTATTTTTGTTCCATTTACCTCAGCCTATACTGATATTGTTTTATTTTACACTTCAGAATGAAACTTCCAGTTCTAATGTGACTGATTTTAGAGAGACATCCGAGTCTAAGTCAGATGCACATGGAGGAGAAAACGCCATCAATGGTACTCTTCACACTTTGTAAATGCTAAAAAATAAAAGATATGCAGTAGAACCCCCCCAACTCTAACTCAGTTAACTCTGTCAACCCCTCCCCCCCCCACCCCTTGTAACTCAAAAAGGATTCTATTTTGAGTCATTTACTATCAGGTAACTTGAGCCCTCACTAATTCAAAACATTTTAAGTTTCCTTTAGGAGTTCAAGTTACATGGGGTTGTACTGTACATTATTTCTATCCTGAGTCTACTGTTGTATAATTTCACTTGATAAATAACATTGTTAAATCAATCCAATTTTGATATGTTAGTTTTAATTCACCATTATCTAGCAATCACAGTGTTTAAGAGCAATACTTGATGTTTTATTTATGTTGAATATTTATACATTTTACAAAACAGAATCTGCTTCTCATCTGTCAAGACCATCTCCTACGGCTTCTATGGACTTAAATTCTCTCAGTATTGATCCTGAGGTAATATTCTCTCTTCTTAACTAATTTAAACCTTTTACCCCTAAGGGAGACTTGTATTCTATTTCTCCTTACAATATATAACCCCTGAATCACAAATGAAGGTAACAAGAATATAAGAATTGATCACCAACTAATGAAGCTCTTGATTGTTGAACATAAGGATAAATCAACTCACTATACAAACAACTTTAGTATTTACATAGAAAACATATTCCATAGTCAGGATCTTGACGTTTATATGTAAACATTCAGTCACTGTAGTCTCCAATTGAAAAATTCATAGACTAATTGACCCTTTCACTCCCAGTAGAGACCAAGACAGACTTTCTTCTTACAATATCAACCAGAGTGATGAGGATAAAGAAAAATATCAATTTGGGGATAATTAGTTGATCCAATACTAAATTCTCTGAACCAACATTGTAATAATTGTATAGTTGACAGTAAGAGAATTACAAATTTGATCCTGGAGTTAAAGGGTCGAGACTAACTTGTTCTGTGTTTCAATTCCAATTAATTTGGTTATAAAGGCTGACTGGACAACATTCCTTTTCTTTTTGATTGCAAAAATTATGCAACATCCAAGAAAAAAACAAACAAAATCATGCATTAAAGTGTCTTGCTTAATCCCTGTCAATAGCTTCATTGATGAATGAGCTAACAACAAGCCCATTTGTTTGCTTGCTTATTTTCTTTTGCCTTGCCTTTACTCTTAATTGAATTCAAGGTGTTACATAGCATTACAAATTTCTGCAGGGTCTTAATTTGATTTCCCTCCTAAAATTTTTGAAACTATTAATATTAAAAAAGGCCTGTTTGTAGATGATTGAGGTAGGCATAGGAAAACTGCAATGTTAACAGTAACCTGCATATGATCTTTCAATTGTTTATAATAACATATAACCTGTTGATCAATTTGGAGCTTCAAGGGCCCCCCCCCTCCTCAGGTAACCCCCTTAACCCCCTTGAACTTTTGATGGTGCTCAATTGCCCAATCCAAGAATCAGTTGTGATCAGCACATTTTTTTGTAAAAGGCCGAAACCACAACCCTGGCTTTCTCAGTTATCGACCAGTAACTGATTTAAAATCTAAACCTAGTAGACCTTTTTCCCCGAGCCACTTGCTCGTGAAAGTGAACTCTTTTTACCTTGAAACACTTCTATATTAAAAGATAAAACATTATTTTGTATTCCACTTCAAAAACCGGCTCAAAATCCCCACCCCACCCAGGCAAGGTTCAAAATTTCCATCCCTTCCTGTGGGTTGCCTGGTTGGAGTGGGGGCAGTGAAGAGGGCTGAAGC